GTAGCTAAATTGAGGGCTCCGCTACCAATGTTGCACTCCCACCCACCCATGGCAGCACGATTTCTTTTTGTTCACCTGCATGCACTGTTTATTGCTCAGATGGCTGCTGGCATTATCTATTGTTCAGCGCTAACACTATACTCTACTCTTTGGGGAGAAATCTTGAGCCACGAGCCGGGCCATGGTCCAATTTTGAATATATATATATATATATGTGTGTGACATTTGTTTGTGTGTGTGCTCCCGCCCACGCCTGCCCCGGCCTTCAAAAGGCCACAACACAAGGCTATGCGTTGGTTGGGCCTTGCCTCCACTTCCTTGGATCAGGCCTCGTGGGGACAAGAGGAGGGCCGAAGATAAGATGGGGTCACAATTTTGAAGTGCAGAGCCGATCTAACTTTCTATCAGCGTGTTTGTATGTCTTGTGTTTCAGCACTGGTTAGTTCCAAAAGACACACACACACTAGACCACACTAGTGCACGTGAAACATGTGCCTTGTTCATTGTTTATGGCCGCCTCTTTCCATTTGAGCGCCTTGTGTGAAAAGCCATGCGTCCACTAACCTCAGCGGTAACCAGACACTTGTTTCTAAAAAGAATTGCGCATGGGTTCCATGCAGTCATGCGTTCACACAGCCGAGGACGAGGTAAGAGTCCAAGAGTGTTTAAGAGTTAGTAACAAGAGGAGGAAATAACTTGCGTGCACATCCAGGGAATCCATACTCACACATTTTTTGCTCATTTGGGAGGCAGGTAAAGTCAGGCCAAATTATATAGAAGATCACAGCAGGCTCCAAGGCATTATACCCCAAATGCACCAAAACCTAAATGACCAAGACCCCGCGGAATCCAGGCAATCACTACACAAAGGCAAAACAACAACCACCAAATCAATCCAAACCAACCATGCAAATTGAAACAATCATTCACGAACAACGGATTCAACAAATAAACAGCTATGAACATCTATCAACGCTGGATTCCATCCCTTCCTGCTACAAAATTCGCCCTCAAACTGCTCTCCATCCAAGCCCGGGTCGCTGCATTGCGACGGTCATTGGATTTCGGAAGGCCACTTTCGGCAATCCACTTCGTAAATGAAATAATCACGGGCCTTGGACAAGGAAGAAAAACTTGGCACAGCGTCAGGACGTTCAGCCGTCTCAGAAACATGAGGCATCTCAGAAGGCATCTCAGAAGAGGCCGCCGCAGTAGACTCAGTAGACGCAACAGGCGCGACACCATCCTGAGCTTGAGGTCTTGGGACACCCTTCTTGACCCAACGCTGGTGCCAAGCTGCGCTGTTCTGCCGGTGAACCATTCTCTTCAGTTCAGCAGCACTCACATCTGCAGGCGGATCAGATGCAACCACTGGCGCAACCACAGGTGGCACCACTGGCTCCGCTGGTGTGGTCGCCACTTCCTTTGGTTCCACCTCCACTTCCTCAGGCTCCACAGTGGGTCCAGGCTCACACAGCTTGCCACGTTTGGATTTGTTCAAGAGGTCCAAGTCCACTTGTTCCAAGCTGGCAGCATCAAAGCGCAAAGAGCGCTTCAATTGGGTTCTCTCCGGAGACTCAGAACCCTCTGGACCAAACCAGGCAAAGTGTGGTGATGGTGACAATGACGGATGCGAAGCACCTTCATCAACTGGTTGTGTCTCCTGCGAATCATCACCAAATGGGGCCTGCGAATCCTCAAAGTGTTCCCTGGTAGCCGCCCTCTGTGACATTTGCGGAGTGGCCACACCAGTCCTGGTGAGCAACATCCAACAAATGAGCAACAAATGTCAAACATCATCAACAAATGAGCAACAAATGTCAAACGTCAAAACATCCAATCAAATGTCAAATGTCATCATCATCATCAACAAATTGCAAAAGTCTGTTCAAAGCACAAGGCAAGGCACGGGGGTGGACAAAATGGCACAGGTTGTGCCAAAGCCGCATGCTTGGGGGCTGTCAGGAACATTGATTGAGATTTTGCCCGGGGAGCATCATGGATCACACTGAAGCTGTGCTTCTTCTCCACTGAAGGAGCGCAACTTGAACCCTGGTATGTGTGTGATGGAAGTTCATATTCCATCAGACCGGCGCCATCATCCAAGACAATCTGAGTACCACAGGAGGTCATGGGGCGGACAAGCACAGAACAACACACGACGCCCGCACAGAACCAAAGAGCTTCAAAATACTGTTCAATGACATATGTGGTGCGCAACAAACAACACAACAACTTACAGCAAATTGCTGCCATCACCTTACATCACAGCAAGAACACAGGACTCAGTTCATTTTCTCAACATCTCCCCTACACGGCTCAGGTGTGTTCAGCTAACTGAAGATCATTTGAACCCACACTACACAGAGGTGTAGTCACACCAAAGCATTTGCCAAAGCATCGTTTGGCTGGTGTTAACCCCGTCAAGCTGACAAAAGCTTGGGAAACTAGATCACGCGCTGCACACCGCCTTGGATCATACCAAGGTCGCCCGGCAGGTACCACAGCGGCTTCGCCGCTCCAACCGTTTTCTCAGTGACATACTTGCGAAGCCGCCATACCTCAAAAGAATCAAAATGAATCAAAGACCCACATGAAGAATTCAGCGAAACAACACAGAACTTTGGGTTGTCAAGCTCAAACAAATGCAAGAACAGAAAGCTTGCCCAGCAAAATGCAAATAAAGCCACCAGGACCAAAGGGCTGGCCTTCAGCTGCTGGTAAGAGAAATGCGAAGCCAGATTGGATGCCTTCAAGGACTTAGCCGGTACTGCATTTGCCTTCCATAGCAGCTTCTCATCTGTTGGGGCAACATCAAAGCGATCATCACATCGGCCTTGCTGGACTTCTGGTGGCCTGCAACAGGTGTGTCCTGCCAGGCTGAAGTCAATCATCCCGGACTTCTCCACTGCCTGTAGGGCTGCGCACAGAACCATCGGATTGGTGTCGGATCCATCGTCCTGACCAGAATCACAAAGAACAAACATTTCACAATACATTTGAACACACTTGAAAACATTTGAAAATACAAGTGCACCATGAACTGAATCCTCCAGGACAACTGGCGCACTGTCGTCAGTGAACGAACAGGGGATGGCTTTGCCCTGATTGTTTGCCTCGAACTTGGTAGCCTTCTGCCCAACAAGCCAGGTGCCCCCACCATGAGTGATGAAAGGCAAAGGGTTGCAAGGCAACTTGACAGGCTCCTTTGCATGGACATACAAAGAAGGCCCTGGTGCAATGATGAACGTAGTCGTGGAAGTTGGCCCTGCCACTTCAGTGAAATTCTCTGCGCCCCCAACCTTCTCCTTGAGCTTCTCAAACATGTCTGGTTCACCCGGGAAGGCAGACTTCCAATCATACTCTGCATCCCCCTCCTGCTTGATTGGCGACGGCGTCTCTGTCTTCATCGGACTTGGTTTCGATGGAGATGGAGTGTCTGCCAAAGGTGCACCCCAGGACTTGTCAAAGTTGGTCAATACCTCGCGCCACTCTTGCCCCCATATTGGGCAAGAGAGGAATTGGTGCCTGATGTCCTTTGGCAGGATCAGCTTGTTGCTGTCCTCTGCCACCTGGCAGATCTTGAGCGTAGGCTTTGACGCGCCCTGTGGAAGATCCTCAGGGGACGGATCTTTCTTGTACCTGGGCATGTACTTGTCCATTGGAGCTTGGTTGGATTTCCATGCCTGTGCAGGGCGTGTGCAATTTTGCAAGCAATAAACTGTGAAATTGCCACCCCAAACAGTCCCACAACTATTACAGTAATGTAAACACATGCAATGGATGGCAATGGTTTTGGCGACAGGTGCCTGCAGAAGATGAGACTTCACAATCTCATTGGTACACTTGTAGTTCGCTTCAATGAGACTGGAACTCAGAATCGCATGGCCCAGCTTCATCCCTGCCAACTCCAAGCAACCATCGTAGGCAGTGGGATGCAGAATGACAGCTCCCTGCGGTGCCTTCACTCCACCTCAAATCACTCCAATGAGAGCTAGTGACCAATATCATCACAGCAAACCAAAACACAAATATCACACAAAACAAATCAAAACAACATACAAAACGCATCAATACCATCAAGTCAATGCATAAGCGGCTGAACAGCGCGGTCAGAATCGCAGTTGGCACCCGCCCTCCTCCGATCCACTGACTTGTCTCTTGCAAGTCTGTCAGATTGCGCCTGGTGTCGTTGGAGAGGAGCGACTCACCTGGCACCACGAACTCTTTCTCCGACAATGCTCCAGGAAAGGGCGTCGGCAGGGACTGCCTTTGCCACAGCATGCTGCCGCAGAACCTGGGGACAAGCAACATTTGAAAAGACATATTCAGTGAAATAATCAGACAGCCAAAAACCAACCCCGGCAACCATAAAAAGTGTGACTATAAGCAAAGAAGGGGCAAGTTCACCTGATGCTCGATCTCGGGCGCACCGCGCACGCTTCTGTGGGCAGTGCCCTTGAGAGGCAGCGTAGAGTCTGGCACACCCAGGTAGCAAATGTAGGCGCTGGGCAACTCACGGTTCTTGTGGAGGTCATCAAGGCTCAGATTCAGGGTAAATGGCCTCAATTCGATCTTGTTGGCAATGAGCTTATCCTCGAGCCTCCTCCAAAGCACTTTGTGGCACCACCCCAAGACATAATATGGACATACAACACAGTTTTCCACCACCAATAAAGAACATTGGACGAGGAGGACTATCGAACACTCATACTCCTGATGTCTTTGCGAAGACTGCCACCAGAGTCTGCGCCCACTAAGAGGGGCGGGATCAACACCAGGACTGATCCTGGGCAAATCAAAACACATACCCTTATCTTTGGTTTTGAACCTGCATCAAAGCACAATGCAGTGCTGAGAGGCAAGCAACTTCCTGGCAAACAATTTACACAGCAAACTCACGTCTGAGAAATTCACGGGATGGGTTCTTGAAGAGCATCTTGTCGCAGACATCCCCAATCAGGTTCACTTCTGACTGGCTGATCACACCCATCTTCGTGCAATCAATCCAAATAACTGTCTCAAGGTCTGAGACGGACACCTTGCAACATGTTTTATGCATTTGACCAGCAACATAGCGAACATAGTCCAACCCAAAGGAATGCAAACTACTACAAGCCTTCTTGGCAGCAGCCAAATTCCGGAACACGGTGTCAGCACACGGGTCTGCAAAGCATTTCTCCATCAGCAGCGAGACCCGGCAGCCCTTGGTCATGAAGGTCTGACAAAGCCTGAAATGACTGAGATGCGTTGAGATAAACACATGGCATGTGGAATATTGTAGAGGATAAACCAAAAAAAACATCTTCTGAGCAAAACCTACTCTGAAGGATAGTAAGATGAGAAACTCCGCGCCAACTTCATGCTGCCCCTTTTGGTGCATGACGTGCACCACATGAGCCCTGCGCTTGTTCTCCTCCATTTGGGAGTTGTACAAGGTCATGGCCGCACAGTCTTGGGCCATCTTGGCCCTCACCTCACGATACCTCGCAGCTTGTGCTTGATCTTCTAAGTCCACCAACTCAGCAGCGGTTGCCACACACGGCGGCGGGCCAGTTGGAGTCTCGACGACATCAGCCCACAGCCCAAAGTGTTGGATCTTCCAAGTGGCCAATTTGGATGCAACAATGGCTTCCACATCGGACTTGTAATCCCTCAGATTCATCAAACAGCCCAATCAACTGACAGATTGCACAAACAAAATACTGTCACACAAACAAAAGGTTTAACATTTCACAAATTACATCCTAGCGACCGCTGATAAAAGGCCTTCATGATCTGAGCCTCTTTTTCAGGCGTGAACGAAGCTAGCTGCCGGGCCTCTACCAAGAGAGCTGAGTAAATGCAGGCGTAGTCTGCGTGAGCATCAAAGACGTCACTGGACATGCGGAGCCTTGAGCGCGCTGACGGCGTCAAGCGGCGACCACCTTCAACAAAGATGTTGATGATGAGCTTGAGGTGCATCACTTGGGATTGCGGTGTCACGGTTAAACACCGCCTCAACTCCGCTGGACAAGCGCTTGCCTTGGGGGACGCCCCAATCATCCACCGATTTGATCTCAGCTGCTCTGTGTTTAGGGCAGCCTCCTTCCATTTGAATCTGTCCAGGTGAGCGCGCATCACTTCCCGCGCTTCCTCAAAATGACACAATGAAACCAAACAAGAACCAATGCAACTAAACAAACACTTTCCACTCAAAAGAAAAAGGAAAATGACAAGGTGAATGAATATAAGTCCCAAACACGTTGCTGCTGCCTGCAATCAGGTTATATACTGATCGCAGCTTGTCCTCGTCCATCCTGTGTCTCTGGGACAGACCCTCTGAGTCATGGAACTGATGCACGACCGCCATCAGGCGTTCTTCTGTGCTGGTGCCAGGTGGGTGACTGCCCTCATCCAATTCCATGACTCGGGAGAACCTCAACGCCAATTGCAGCACATTTGGCGGCTGCCTCTCCGAGCCGCGGTAGCTGAGAGTTAGATTTCGGAATGATCGCTCCGAGGCAGTCATTCCGAATGCCATCTTAGCAATTGAAGAACAACAGCAAGCATGAAGAACAACTGCGACAGTGAACCCACAAAAAACAATAGGGTAAACACATTTCTACAGCAGTAAATCCAACCAGCCACATGGCACGGCAAGAGCCAAGCACGATCGAGGATCTTCACCAGTGGTTTGACCTGCTCTTGGGCCGCAGCATCTGTCAGGTCAAGCTCGGAAGCAGCCAAGAGGATTGTCGCTACCACCGAGCTGCGCGTCCACCCTTTGACTTGGTGGACGCTCTGCCGGTCGCACAGCCAAAAATCTGATGGGAGCAAAAAAGAAAAACCAACAAGAAAATACAACATTTAACAGACAACAACAACTGTGCAATGCAAATGTCACCTTTCAATTTAACCCCCAACCTCGACCACCCTCCATGGATGTGTCCAGTGGCTCACGTCCAAGGTCAATTCCACTGAACAACATGGACTCAAATGTGGCCATCCAGTCCTCCATGACTGGCAATCCGTCCTCTGGCTTGTCAAACCTGAGGCTACAAACTTCAAAGTAAATCTAAAAATTTCCAAGGGACATGTATAGTGAACACTGGCATCCCCAACAACACAGGATGAAGCGCACGTCACCGAGAACCTAACCGCAAGCAAGTGATCGGAAGCTTGATGGTTTCGCCATGCATGGAAGGATTCATCTCCTGAGTAGTTTGCATCACCATGCGTTTGAAGGTTTGCTTGGCAGGAAACATTGTCGTCAACTTTTTTGCACGCACACACACACAGTGTATGATAAACGTGCGACAGAGGTATGTGCAAACAAGAAGATTGACATTTGAAACAAGGAGCCATTCCTGGTGCCTTGAAAAGGTAACTTGTACCACGGAACTTGGCATACTCAGCGTACCATGCTTCAAGCTGTTGACATTGCAAAGTCCGATGATGGTCATCATCACACCCAAAAAGGTCAACCACTAGTTGCGCAGGGTGCGCAGATTCCTCTATGTCTTCCTTCTTGAATGATACGACATAGTCCCAAAGGGCCTGGGGGAACTTGGTTTTATTTTGGTTGGGAAACTTTGGTGACGCACATAACTTGCATGTTGTTTTTATATTTCTCAGCTACACAGCTACACAGTACATACCAGCCTTCACCAAAGAAAGGTCACCTGGTCCCATCTTGCTCATGAGCTTGTCGACCTGTGTGCAAGCTCGCTTTGTAGGTGGGTCTGCATTGTGGCCGCCATCCTCTTCCTTTTTCTTCACCAGCTGCAGCCGTTCCTCGGCCTTTTGCTTAAAGGTCGTCGCCATGGGCTGCACTCGATCTCAAATTTCCCCTAAATCACTTTGAGCAGAACAGATGGAAAGCAAAAACATTGACTGAGTACATTGACTTTGTTATCTCGGTTTGGACACAATGTCAATGCACTCGGCTAGCCCCAGTCCATTGATCCCTTTTTGAAAAAAACACGCCATCAATTTTTGTTTAAAATCTATAAAAAAAATTGATGCTCGACATTTTTTCTTAAAGGATCAATGCACTGGGCCCAGCATAGTGCATTGATCCTAAGTTGGGGAACCCAGCACAAGTTCAATGCAGCCAGGTATAGTGAGTGCAACTCCCAGGCATGGACATCCCTGTGTTCCCTGTAAGTGGTCTCCCTAAAAGTCAATGCACTGGGCTCACCCCAGTGCATCGACTTCAGTGAGTGGGTTGACGCGAGTGCACCGACCTGGGCGTGTGAGAAGGTGGGAGTGCACCGATGTTGGTTGACCGGGAACCCGGGGTGCACCGACTTTCGGGGTCACACCGGTTCCGGTGCACCGACTTTCGGGGTCACACCGGTTCCGGTGCACCGACAATCGTGGACGGGAACCGCACCACACAGAACCAAAACATCCAATAACACCAATCGCTTTCTGTTTTCCTTTCCCAGGATTCCCTCACAAATCCTTTTGGGGTGTGGGCCACAAAGGCGGCCAAAGGGAATTGAACACAAACAGAAAATCCATGACCCCCAAACACTTGGTTCCCAAGTATCCCATAAGAGCTGGGTGAAGAATAGGTTTCTCCTTTTCTACACTCGGCGGTCACCACTGAAGATGGCCCTGAGTGGCACTGCTGGGGCTAATGCGTTCAGCACTGCCGGTTGCAGCAAAAATCTCGGTTCTTGGATATCCACACTTCGAGGATTTTCCTGTAGCCAAGGGAGAGGAGTCAGTTCTGAGTCTCTCCAGAAAGCATTATTTGCTAGATTCTCTAGGTACTCCACGGCCCTTCTGTACTTGTGTCCATAACACAGCTCGACAGCCCGTGCAAATTTCTTCCAATCTGCCGCGGTCGATTCCCGATGGTTGTTCAGCATCCTTGGACATGCGAGCCCGGGTTCTCGAGAAGGAAGTTTCTTTGGAAGACCACATGACATGACAAGGAATAAGAACACGTTACTTTGTTTGCTTCTGAATTTCTTCTCTGAAGGCAATGACACATAGTTGAAAGCACGCCCATGGGTCATTGTCAAAAGTGGGTCTTGCGCCAACGTGTTGTCACACACAAACTTCTTTATGAACGTGATCACGTCCGCACCATTGGGCTGCCCTCTGTAAGACCCAGAGTTGATCTTATCCACAAATGCCGATGGGAGATCTACAGGGTTTCAAATCCAGAAACCGTTTCAAGTTGGGAGTTGGGAGTCCGAAGAGTTTTGGGTGGGAACGAATTGGTGGAATCCCAAGCCTCGACGTTGCAAGCTGAGGAAGAAGTGATTCCCCTCTTCATCTTTGAGCAGTCCGCCCTCAAGCTTCACACCAAGGCCCGATACGTGGTCTTTCCACGCACGGGTGTTATCCAGCTGAGATACCACCACCCGAGTAGAAGGTCCGACCCAATCTTTTATGGTGGGCTTCAAGAGTTCATCTCTGATGGCTTCTTGAACATCGCGAACGTCCTGTAATGAATCTTCGCAGCCCACCCTCCGGGAGATTATTCCCCATAGCTGATCTCAGCTGAAGACAGGTGAATCCACACAATATACACAATAACCAGTCACTTAATAAAGGTGAAATAACAACATATAAAAACATTATCTAGTCCCACTTGTGGCACCAATCCTGCAGTGCGTGTGGCTCTTCCGGAGGAAGGCCAGGGCAGTGGAGCGGAACCGGCCCTGTGTGACCAATGCATTGAGCCATGACATTACGTACTGGTTCTTTGTCTCTCGGACTGTATTGTCCGCCTTACATATGTTTTGAAGAATTTTGAAGTGTTCAGGAAAATGCGCTTAAAGCAAACACGAAAGATGTAAAAGGGACATGCAAGGGTCTTCCAATGATCCATCCCTTGATGTAAACGTGCGTTTCATTCGGGTCACCACCAAAAAAGTAATTATATCTAAAAACATGTACCCTTCCCACAAGACGAACAGAAAAGGAACATTCACCACTAGGGTGTGCGGACGTGCTCGATGTTCTTCATCGCAGATGTCCATCACCTAGGATGAATCATGATGCAGTTTCTATATAGATGTTAATATGTCCTGACGTGCATTTATGGAAATACATGACATTATATCATTATATATATATAAAAAGGTGTTTTAAACATCTACTTTCAGTGTATGTACAAAGGACAGTGTATGTAGAAAGGACAGGACAGAGTTGTTGCGCATAAGGCTATATTTGTGTGAGCAGCACGTCCAAGAAAACTATAGCTTGGTTTGGAGTCTGGGCACGGCCTGGATGGTCTCAGACAATATTTGGATAATGCAACTGGAATCGTGGCGGCCGTTCTCGTTAATGGTGAATATGTTCAGTACATAGCCGAACGCCCAGGCGCCGTGCACCTTGATGCGAGGACGAATGTGTTTTGCCCTCAGCTGTGAGAAGAGCCCGCTGGGAAGGATTGCGAGTGATTGGGATGACTGGGATATCAACCAATCCTGAAATAGAAAGAGGGTGCTCCTTTGTTACAAATCAAGTCTCAGCCCTGCGTTTGCCCTTAGGGATGGATCGCGGGGCAATGCAAATTTGGATTGGTCGAGGCCGTCCGTCGATATCATTAGGATACCACTGTTCGGATCAGCTCCTGCTGCTTGTAGTTGCCATATCGTGCTGCGGTCACAGTACTGTGAGTGTAGATGGTGTCTGTAGGTAGACAGTGAACCCAACTTCTGTTCCATGGACAAGGTCTTGTCAGACAAGTTGCTTTTCAACAAGTAGCAAATCTCGCAAGTAGTGAACAGGCTGCGATCTCTGAATTTGAGCACGTCTGACCATCTCCGTTTATATACGTCCATAAACGTGCTGTACCTTTCATTTGGCTGGCAGCTGACATTGGATTAGCTTCATTGCATAGGGGCATTCACACAATGAATGCAACAATAAAGAACCAAACAATACACACGATTCGACCGAGAAGCGAAGCGCAGTATCCCCCCAACAATTTTTGAGTGGACTTGTAATGCTCAAATAGGTCGGCGACAGTGCCCGGAGGCAGGTACTTTCGGACAAAGGTTTCATGTGGGATAAGACCCATGGTTTTGCAGCTCATGGAAGATAGCCATCCCCTCAAGTCATCAACGTCCTCCAGGTCTGAAGTGACCTCTTCATAGTCGCTTTCCTCGTCAGCGTCCAAGTCACGTTTCGGTGCACGGGCACGTCCCCTTCGAACGAACCTCAGGGAGTCATGCTGCAGTTGGGTGGTGTCATGTTTTGTTGGAACTTGAAATGTTTAGGGTTTGATTTTGCCATCAAAAAGGTTGCAAAGATGTTGTCATTTTTACCCAGTAGCCGGTCTGGAAGGGTTTCTGCTATGGACTCGTATGCTATTTGTAAGAAAGCGTCCATTGTATAGGTCTGTGGCCGGCTCCGATGTTCACGCCGGCCAAATCTGAGGTCAGGGGCACCAGACATGGACTTCCTCAACCTGTTGGACCCTACGCCCAGGGGACGCGCAAGACACTTCGCACCAACAGTTTGGTCAAGCAAGCGAAAGGCGCTGTTGCCAAGAGCATCTCCAGAAGCGAAGTGTAACTTAGTTGTCCAATAGCTTAATACCCAAACTGCCTCTGGACAGGATATCATATGATTACATACTATCATCGACCAAACCATGATATAATATGAAAACTACTGAACAGTGTTTGTTTGACAAGGAACCAGTGAATCTTGATCTTGCTTTGAAAGGCCCCAGAACTTTGAAACAAAAGCAGGTAGTTCTTTGGATTGAGCAAACTGCTTGAAGCACACCTTGTTGGCGCCTTGAATCGAGCGACGATAATGATATTGGGTTGAACATGGTTGAACAATCACAGACCCACAGAGTAAAGAGACAAAAAACAACCATTCTGTCACAATAATAGTACAGGGTGCATAGGCAGGACTCTTGTTGGATCAAAGTGCTCACCCTCTCCATGTCACTGCCACTTCTCGTAAAAACACCTTTGGAGTTCCTCGAGTAGGCAGCCTCTTCACGCCTTTTCTCATTGTTGTATGCCCTCTTCTTTTTTGGAGGGCCTTCTACCTTTCTCTCCCAAAA